AGGGAAAGCAACTAAATATACTCTGCAGGAGAAGACTGCTACCTTACTTTTAAATTTATCATGTTGTTTACCATTCTGATCAAACAGTGCAGTCAGTTTGGCTATGCAGATACAGGCGTGAGCACATCCAGACGCTGAAGTCAATGCTTTTTATATGTACATTAAAAGCAGTGTATCTAAGAGCGTACGCCTTTTTCTTCCCCCTCCATCCCCAGTCTTTTTATCCCCTTGCTTTTCTGTATTACATTGTGTTCTTGTGTGCACACAACTAATTTTGCTTTATGGTCATCAAGTTGCGTCATTCAAGAACAAGGCAATCATCTGGCCGAGCACAGCCCAACCACAGCAAACCCCAACACCAGCAGAGCAAAGTCCCACACCACTGAGAAGCAAACGGGTACACGCACCGCAGTCTATTGCTTGGTAAGTGTTGTTTAGTTTAGTGTATACTTCTTTATTGGACCGTTCTTGCACATTACTGCTTTGCCATAACGAACGGTGGCAAGCATTCAGAAGACTCATATGAGTTGTGTTGTGTAGATGTTACTACCAGAACCTAGTGTATGGGAGAAAAATCTGTCCACACATTTCCAGCTAGTACACCAGGCCCATTCACATGCAGCATATAGTTTTGCATTTTTAAACAGCAAATACTTGAGTTACTGTGAATATCAACACAAATTATAAAAGATACGTAGGAAAAAAAAAGATCAGTTAACTAAGTAATGAAAAATTACTTTAATTATCTGAGCAGTGGCCAAGTCACCATTGTGATATACAACTTCATAAAATAAACAGTTTTCTGGAAAGGTATCTGATTCACTCCATTCTACATATATTTCATCATTAAGCTTTGACAGTGTAACTTGTCTTGGTGTAGCAGGTTTTACTGAAATGCAAAATGGAAGAATTAGTTAGAAAGTATATTTCACTGCTTACAAAAATCATTCAAGTCCTGTATTGCATAATACTACACTTATACCAGTTTAGGAACAGAAAGAGGAAAAAGTTAGCACCAAAAAGTCAAGAAAGAATAAAAACAACTGAAGAATAAGAGTAAAAATGAGCAGAAAATGATCCCCCACCCCCCAAAATAAACCCTGTATATATAATTCCCAAATCAAAGATCAATAGAGGAAAGGAGAATCTAATCATGTTGTCCCATCCACAGCTTACGAGGTGCAAGCTTCTCAAACACAACAATATACTAGCAAAATTCTTTTTTTAAGTATTTTTTTATAACGTGGTGTTAAACTTACCAATCGTGGTAGGATTTTTGCTTGCACACATAGGCCTAATTTCTTCAGAATCATCTCTAATCAAAATACTTATAGCTGGGTAAGTATTGGTGACTTCTGGGAAGCTAAGATTGAAAATGCAACTAAAGATTCCTTGGTGCACAGAATAGTTGTTGCACTTCTCATGGTTTTTCAAACCATCAAACCTATAGGAATAAAAATATTTTTTTAAACTTCAAAAGAATAGGATGGCAAGAGGCAAGCTTGTTGTGAAACCTGTTCCAAATTCTAAAGACTGATCTGGCATTAAAGCTGTGCTATAGCATCTATAAAAGTAAAGCTAAGCGAAGAAAGAAGCTTCTCATTTATCTCAAGCTTTAGAAAGAATATTATTTTTGTAAAGGGCATCAAGTAGCAGAGAGAGAGGCAGGATTGCTTTATACCCAAGCACCAAACATAACAGCTGCTTTCAGCTTTGGCTCACATTTTCCACATGGGAAAACAACTTCAAGGAAAAAAAAAATATTTAGAAAGCAAACTAATTTGGATCAATTCCCATCAACAGAATTTCACTTCTGTGATAGAGTCTCCTTCAGCAATGCCTGAGGTGGTCGAGTTTCACCTACTGCCTGCATTTGCTTTTCAAACTGTCAGTATTCAACTGCAGTAACAGAGAAGCTAGGACAACATTCTTCCTTGCTTCTCTTTGTTCCCCAAGTCCCAGTGAAAATATGCCAGTTGCTTTCCCTCCCAAGCAAACAGAATTATTTATTTATTTAAAAATAATCTAGAGTAAACCAGAGCTTCATTTAGGAGCGACGCTCCCCTACTTCACATCTCGGTATACCAGGAATGGGGAAGTCAACACCATCTCTCCTGTTTTCAGGACAGACTCCTTTTTTTATCCACCCCTCTCAGCCCCACGCCGTGGGGCAGATGAAGACGGGAGGCATTCAGAGCCGACAGCACCGTGCCGATGCGTCAACCTGATGCATCTACCTGATGCATCAACCTGCTCTCTTAAGCCTCCGTTTCAGCAAGTGTTACTGTGCTGGATTTGTTTGTTCTAAGCTAATGTCATATTCATATTCACTTTGGATGAAAAGATAGGGTTCTAGAGGAAAATATTGATGAAGAAGAATATAAAATGAACTAAGCAATATTTTTTCAGGTCATTGTTCAATCATTTGTGGGAAAAAAAACCAAACCAAACCAAAACAACAAAAAGAAGATGAAAAACCCCAAACACACAACCAAAACCAAACCCTCACCCGCATTATGGAAAATGTATCTTTCAGTCCAAAAGCCAAGTGTTTCCTTAGTTTTCAGCTTTAAAACTTAAGAAAAGTTTTTTTTCCTTTCTAAGCAGCATGAATCACTGCAGCTACGTCTTTCATTAGAACTAAGGGGTAAGTTGAAAAATATATAGCTCTAATTAAAGCATTATTCCTGTGAGTATCCATATACCCAGAAATTGAGATCTTCAATGCCTCATTGGTACTGTTCTTGTAATAAGGAAAGAATTTCTTTGAGTAGCAGTTTAGCGACAGAACAATCCTCCCTGCATTTAACTAAAGCGGCAAGTTTACTTCTGCTGTTTGCTGTCAAAATGCATTAAATCGAACAGCTAGCTTGCTAGACTGCCACTGGAGAGGAAGAGGAAAAAGTTTATTTAGTTAGTTCCGATAAAACAGAAAGCTGATTTAAAACTACAACAGTGGCTTTCAGAAAGAAAACTTCCATATTTCTACAGAAGCTAATGTAATCTGGCATTCACAAGCCCCATCAACATCCAGAAGTATGCACAGATCAGCGTGTGCAGATCTTGCTGCCAAGTTTTTGCTCATGCCACAACTCTGTTCCTTTGGAACAAGAGTCTATTTATGGCAGTCAGCTGGCAAGCGTGGAAGATGATAAAAAGATGTTCTCTATAACTGTCAAGGTGAATCGGTTATTCATGCCATAGAAGACACAAACAAAGTTACTGTTAAGTGTTATTAATGTTTTTATATAATTTTTCCAATCATTTAAGAGTGCTGACACATACGATATTGAGTGATTCTGATTTAAATGGCCCATGTTTATTAGGCTATAAAGAAAGCGATTCATATATTGATCTAGCTCAGTTCTTAATTTTCCCCCTCTTTGAATCCACAATTAGAAAAAATTAGAAAGCAACAGCAGTTATTTTAAAATGGGTTACAGAAGCAGCCAGTGGTTCACATAACAGTTATTTTCACATCACAAAAAGAGTCAGCAACAGCAACCTCTTGACCCTTCAGCAGTCCAGTTTTCTGTTGGACAGGACCCAACACTAACTGGTACACAATGCCCTGGGACCTTTCAAAGCAACAGGCAGGAGACAAGTAAAAAGGTGTAATGTAAAACTAAAGATTAGTGCTAAAGCACTTTAGAGTTGGGAATAAAAAGTTCATACAAACCAGTAGAACAACGTATAATTGGTATCACTGCTTGCGTTCTCCCCAGGACGCCACATACAAACCATGTACTCCAAATTGTGCCAAACACAGCTCAAGTCAACAGCAGCAGTTCCTGGAATACCTGCAAGGCAAGTTGGAAAGGTCTCTTAAGGTTTATTTTGCCAGCAAAGTCTTCTCCCCAATTTCCAAAAGTAAAACATCCCTTTTTACATAACTGAAACTGTCTGGAAGGCAAAGACGCAGGCCAGCCTGCACTGCCTGTCTCAGCACAGCAAATGATGAATTCCAGTTGTTTATCGCTTGCAATAGCCGAAATCCCAGCAGAGTAACCTCTACACCTAAAGCTAGTCATAACAGTGAATCTCAGTTTCCACCACGTCTTAATTCCTGCTTAAGAGTTACCTGATGCTAAGGACAAGATGTTGAGTCAGGTAAATATTTTTTTCTATTAAACTACAGGTACTTTAAAAAGGAGTTAAAGTAACTGGCGGTTATAGGGATAGCACTTAGCTTTGTTATAGTTATTACAGCCATCAATGTTAAAAATAGTCAGTGCTTAATTATAGTTACCTTCTTCAGATAAAATATTAGTTTCTCAGTATTCTGAATATGGAAATACCTGTAGACCTTAACTATGGCCAAAAGCAACACTGGGTAAGTTGAATTTTTAATCGAGACCCATATGCCTCTAGACATTCCACTTCAACACATTGAAAACCCAAATTACAGAACATAAATACAAATGAGTACATAGGAATTGTGAACAGAGACGTCAATGTATCTCCCAGGCAGACCACTTGCAGAATAAAGTTTTTCATATTCAATCTTGCATTTTTGTATGGTACTAATTCTTTATACTGTATTGTCATATTACAACATATTAGATATTTTTTCCGTGTAAGAAGTAGCAACATCTCCATGAACTAAAAATAAAATGCAGGTTAATTTTATCAACAGTCCAGACTTTTATTGACAGCAAACCCCAAACTACCTTCTGAGTTTGCATTGTCCTTGAAGTAGCAATTATCTAAGAGTACAGGAATATGAAACTGGTTTTCCTATTCCAAGAAGTATTAAAAATATCTTATCTGCAAGCAGACTTTTAAAAGCCCCAGCCTGTTTAGTACATGCTGTTCTAATGATCCGCTTCCCTGACTTTGCAGAATACTCTCCTACCAGGCACACAGACAAGCCTGAAAAGGTCTCAGATTCCCCTGTCCACATGTGGTTTTCATCCACATCGAGCCACGCTCCTGGGTTACACAGACATCTAGTACTCAAAGCAAGAGGCTCTATCTCCTTGCTGTACCTCCTAACTTCCAGCATCCAGTAGAACACATTACTCCTTAAAGTCTCCTTCCTAACAATTTTGCTATGGACCCCTTATTTCTGGATGTCAAGAAACAAAAGATATTTTTTCTCTATTCGTTTTGCTATCCACAGCTTTGTAGATCACAGTCATCTCTTTTGAAAGAGAGAGAATCCTACTATAATTATTAAGTAACTTATTTATACAACAAATTGTTAAATTTCATAGATTCATCCCTCTAACATTTACAAATGTAGGGTTATTTCAGGGACATTTACTTGTACAGAAAAATCATACAAAATAAACGGACTTAGATGTTAGTCAGCAGGCTTAATATAACCCAAGTTATCTCTAATCCCACAACCACAGCACGGCAGGGACAAGGGGAATGACAGGAATCACATCGTTGTCTTGGAAGAGCATTTAAATTTTACAAGCTTGCCCATATGGTTTTCAGCATCAGAAGACTCCAGTTGTGTTTAAATGTAGTATAATTGTTCAGTTTAAGCTCTACTGACTGAACTAGCCCTCTGGGTCTGGCCACTGCCCGTCTCACCTTTCGGCAGAAGAGAGGTCTCCACCCACTGGCTGGGCTTGCTGGTGTTATCGTACTTGCATTCACTTCTCACTTTGAAACGCATTTCCTCATTCAAGAACGTATCCGTCACACGGAAGCGACTCTTACTCCATTCCTGAGTTTAGGTGAGGGGTTAAAAAAAAAAAAATCAGAATATTTGGCATACCGTATCAGACACACGGGAATTACTTATCGACGTAAGAATATTCTTACGTCGATATTCTTACTATCGACGTAAGAATACGTTACAGCCCCTCAGAAAGACTGCAACTCAAAGCCAAATGAAATGAGTGTCTGACAACGTGGGAAGACTCAGCATCGCTTAGCTTTACTTTTTCCTCATCCAATACACTCAGAACTCAAAGGCAAACTACTTCTACTCCAGTGACCTGCAGATATGAGCAAAGGCCACACAGAGGTCAAGGAACAAGTATAACGGGGGAAAACTATCCTAGAGTAAGTCTTCATGGATAATGCAAAATAAGCACGTCTATACTACAACTATATAAGCAGCAGCTTACAGATCTAACCTTCATCTTTCTCTGTGTATGTGCACCTGAGTGCGTGATGAAAAGAAAGAACATTTGAAGATGTAACTAAAAAGCAACGAGAAGAGTTTGCATGTTTTTAAGAGGTAAAATGAAAAAAAAAAAATCAAAACAAATCCACAAATGGCTATTAAATACAGTGACACCACATCAGGCCCAAGTAGTCCATGAGCTTCCAGTTTCAGGAATGAATATGTGTTTGGCGAGGAAAAAGGCTTACCCTTTTAACATACACTTTTTGAGCATCTTTTATTGGGCTAAGGGGGATGCTTTTTGCTTAACTGGAAATGGGATAAAAAAAAAAAAATCTTTGTTATGACCAAAGAATGGTGTAACCACTTGTGTACAAAAAAAACCCCAAACTATATATTTTGGCACTACCGAGAGGGCAAGGAAATCAAACAGCGATGAACAGACTAGGTTCTACCAGCTGTAATGCAAAAAGACGTGCAAGATGATACACAGTCTTGTTCATCCTGCGGTGTGAAACCGCTGTCCCACAGCTCTTCCACTGCTGCTGACCCTCACGTCTGTTACACCCTTCCACAAACTCATTCAGCTCATTAACCAAGCAGACTTTCAACTTAATTTGCTAATGAACCCATCAGAAGAGGTAAACAGTTTTCTGCTGAGTTAGCAAATTCGACTGGCTCATCTGAAGGCCCGATGAAGACCATTAGGGAAGGGGGTGCCGGAATGAAGTATCACCCTTTTAGCAGCATTAAGCCAGTAAATCAGCTCAGCTGTTTGCAAAACCGCAACCTTACTTCAAGTCCAGGATATCCTGGAGCTGTCAGAAAGGATACGGCGGTGGCCGTGAAGAGGCCGTTGTAAACATCAGGCCATAAAATGGTAATAGGCCACAGCAACAAAGGACTGTTTCAAGAGGCATCGTATCGACTTTAACCGTATCTGAAACAGCAGAGCTGCTGATCCCGCGGTCGGTGTTTGTTCAAGGCTCCCAATTCTGATGGCTCAGAATCATGGACTGATAGCATATTATCCTACTGGCAATAAATTGTAAAAATATTTGTCCTACAGCCCCTTCAGTGCCATGGAAATTCTGTTCTTGGTCCTGACCAAACAGTTGTTAATCTACACCAAGGATCACATGTGGGCTGCAAACCATTTAACACACACATAAAAATGGAAGCCCAAAACAAAGAAATTTTACAATTTCTATTCCAGGGAATAAATGCCTTCCATGTTGTCTTCATAACACAATCCCCGTGGATGACTGTAAGCGCAGGCGCTGGGACAGGGCGAGCGCGGGAATACGTTAATACTTGGCATTACTTCCAGAAGACACTGTGCTGTCAGATCATGACACCAAGGTTAATGTGCACCCCTCTGTCTTAAACCGAGCTCAAAGTGAAGGAGATGAGCCTCTGCAAATTCCCATTTAAGTCTTAAGGATGTAGACTGCCCTGTATATATTTTATTTTTTCTAGAAAGCTGCATAAGCAAAGACTGAAACAAGTCTTTTCACATTATTATCATGATACTTCTGTGTTATCGGCAGCAGCTCCGTTATCAGAAAGCAACAGACAGATTCTTTCTGATCTGAAGATCCCACATGCTGGTATGACTCATTTTTGAGGTTTTGATCCCACGACAAGAATTAAAGGCTATACTAAAACTGTATTTATATATATTTAGATATGTATCCATGCTTACCCACAGAGTTTAATCACAGTAAGACATTTACTGGAGGATAGCAGAGTTTAAAGAGGTGATGCACTTACTCTTTTGTCCTGAGGGACCTCATCGATCACGATGTCGCTGGAATACTCCAGGTCGCAGCTACTGCTGACGTTCTCTGGGGGGTTCCATGTCCAGTTCAGGGTGCAAATTTGGATAAACGAGTAGTCCAGGTTGGATGGAGGCAGAAGAACTTTTGCTCCTAAAAGGAAGGAGTTACCGGTGTAACAATCCCGTTGGTCCACATTTTACCATCAGTCACACCAACAGATTTTTAACTCTCCAACAGAAAAGTATGACTTCCCAACTTCACCAGCTCGTATTTGCTTTCAGATAAGCCACTGCCCACTAAATTGTTTCTACTATTCCTGTAATCTTGATCCATCAATCATTTAAATAATTATAAGAACACAAAAATAATTAAAAGTATTTTTTAAGAAACTGCAGCATGCAACTATGTAATGACTGTGGTAATGAAACCTATGGTCGTGGAGGGAAGATGAGTCTCATTTTTCAGGTCTTCTCTGCTGTGAGTTTGCATCATGCATGCTGAATCTTTAGTAAAAATAGTATATACATTTTGTGGAGCAATTAATACTTTATTCTACCCCAAAATTATCCCTCACTGCAGCTTTAGAGAGAAAACTTTAAAAACACAAGTAATTATATCTTGCAAGCAACCGCTGTATGTTAGAACCACAATTTAGCCCAATCCAAGCAAAACCGAGAATGTTAAAAAACAATGAAGAAACCACAATGCTTTTTCAATTACTCACGTATTAAGCTTTTAATGCTATGCTCTGGCACAGTGAGCAAAACCAGTGTGGGACAAATATCAATTTATCACTGGAACACTTCAGCAGTACATTTTTTCACCTCCCCAAGAAGCTGAGGATTGTGCATTGACCCTTCCTTACTCTTGTGCGCTGAGTCACAGCCGACTCAACACCCAGTCACACAGCCTGAAGGTTGTATTAGAAAACAAAGAAGGGAACTATGACAGAAAATAGAAAACTGCCAGGAAAATTTAATGTATCAGATTCTATTATAGAAAAAAATTACTAACTGGTAATTCCCTAAGAAAATGAAAGTGAATTTTGTTGGGGGGGGGGGGGTTTGTTGTTTTTTTTTTTAAAGGGGTACTCTAATGTGTATTATTAAAGGATATTAAGTAAGAGGCCAAATGAGACTGCTTCACAAGGATATCCACAGGTATCATCATTGAGGAACCACCACCTATTTGTCTGTGGAAAGTAGTACCCTTGTTACGCAGTAGTTTCACAAACACTTGAAACTGATATCAACTAGCACTGCAGGTCTTGCTCGTCCCAAGAAACTTGCTCGTCCCAGGAAACCAGTCTTAACCCGCCCCAACATTTGGGGGAATGCATAGGGAATTTTTGGGAAAGAGCAGAATAACTCCACCGAGATCGGTTGTCCCATCCAGCTCATGGTGCGATGCCGTTTCCTTCTGCTAGTGCAAGGGAGAGGGCAGATGGAAAGGCAAAACAGCCAGAATTCTGCTCAAAGCATCCGTGACACCATTATCTTACACTTCCCGAGAGCCAGGGCTGCCAAAGCTTGAAGAAAATTCATCAAACTCCTGGAGCTTTCTCAGACCTTTACATAGTTAAACGACAGGCAATGGTAGAGACCAGACACTATTACCATCTGTGTGTCCGCGTGTATGTGTGGATAACGTATGCTCACACAGAAAATGTGAATAATTACTAGGATTTACAGTTTCAGTCTGAATATGCTTCACTTTTTGAATACTTAAAACTTTGGAGATTTTTTGTGTTGTTTGTTTGTTCAGTTTTACAGCTGACCTCGGGAGCAGAGAAGAGAAATTTTGTTTCTTGCAAAAATACAGTCTCCTCTGAGAAACTGAACCTAGCCAGAATATCTTTGCCATCAATAATTTAATGACAGTTTTTAGGAACAGCACCAGGGCCTTAAGTTTGCAAAAAAAAAAAAAAATTTAAAAATTATTCAATGAGACTACTAAGCTCCAAGTATTCTGTCTTTTCATGATCAACCTTTTTATTACCTACAAAAGCCACAAACCATTAAAAAAAATTACAGTGTCATCCCTGATTGCCGTTCTGAAGTTCTACACATTTCCTTTTAATAGACTTGTTTAGAAGTAATTGTGCTTAAGCTTGCAGATTTCTAACCGCACAAAGTAAGAAGTACGAGCATTCAAGGTTCATAAATAAATCAGTAAGTTGTATTAGCCTAAAGAGTTTAAATCTAGTAGGTTTACAATTCTGTAAAGCTTGTGCTTTAACATTACATTCAGCTGAAGATTTGCTTTTATTCACAGGCTTGCTCAGTCTCATACTTTTGTTGTATACAACAGACACATGGTCTAATATTTTTGTTATTAAAATCTCATCACTACAGCAATTTAGCAGAACAACTCAAAGACCAACTACCAACCATTGGCAAGACGTTATTTCACTCTTAAAAAACCAAAACCATAGCGGTGCTTCTAAGAAAATAAAGGGCAGCGGTAACTAGCAGAGATTAGCTGAGGCAATCCTGGATCGAAAACATTTTATTTCTAAAAGCTGTAATAGGGAAACATCAACGAATACTTTGCATCAAGTATCGTAAAGGTGCTGTAAAGGACTTCATGCTCGTATTTTGTCCTCCTCTATTTTCTTCAGGTTGATTTCACAGTTATAAAACTAACTGTAGCCAGTTGAAAACTTAACAATTCTCTGATGTTTACAACTGTATTTTTGCAGAACATGAGCAAAGACAGAACTAACCAAGCTTCGAGCGCCGCTTCTTGCGAAACCCCCCGACACACACAGGCACGGAGCGAAGGGCCGGGGGGGCTTCTGCTGGCGTTTTTAAGGCAGAGACAGCCCCGGGCACCGAAGACGGAGCTTATGAGATTTCTGTCGGCCCTGCCGAACGCTGCCCTGCGGAGCGAGAGGCAGGTTTTTAAGCATCCCCGCTCCCCTGCGCGGCAAGGGGCGCGCTACCGGCCCCGCTGCGGGGGGCGGCTGCGGCGCTTCGGGCGATGTCTCCTACCGAATGACAGCGC